AAGACTGTGTGATGCTTTTATTCATATCTAATGGTGTGTTTTTTGGTGATGCGTACCTAATTTGTGCATGTTTTTTGTTATGCATTTCCTAACATTGTTGGTGCATATTTGTATAACTATTGGTGCGGCCGCACTGCACCCAGGAAGACACGGCCGCACCTGAACTCGACTATATATATATATATATATATATATATATATCATTTATATATACTATTTTTGTGCATCGACTTATTCACCGCTAACAAATCGTTGCTAGCAATAGATAAACATGATTGTTTGACTTCAGAGACAACTACTGCCTATTGGAAAGATAGTTCGAGGTTAGGGGGTAGGAATTAAAAAATTAAAATTAAAATTTGATAAAATGGATCCATATAATTGACGTTACATATTTATCAAGTCAAGAGTAACCTACTTAATATATACGTAAGGTTAGAATTTAATTATATTTTTGTCCATTTAAAGGGTCTTGGTAGAGTTTTTTTTATAAGGCTCAATTTCATTTTTTTTTAATAAATATGTTTAAGTTTGAAAAATGGAAAATGAAAAGTGAAAATTTGATAAGAGTTTTTCATTTGGAAAAGGAGAATCAAATAGATTCGGCCTCCAACTATATTTTTTAGCTCAGAATGGGAGGGGAATACCCGGTATTGCATAAATATAGCGTCCATTTGGCGCCAAAAAGGAAAGCCATATTTATCATCCTCTAGGATTTGCATTAACTCAGCAGGAGGTTGGTCTAGGATCACAAGGCCTCTCTGCCCATGTCGATCTTTGGCAAGATGATCAGCTGCGTAGTTAATCTCTCTGGGGACGAGGGTGAGATGCCAGGACACAATGTTACTTAATTCACGTTTGCATGCGTCTAGGATGTTATCTGCAATACTTTCAAGCCTTGTTCCCAGGTGAATTGCATCTGTGATCGTCTTGGAATCACATTCGAAGCAAATAAAATTGCTTGCTTGAGCCTTTGCAAACTGGATTCCCTTCAGAAGGGCCCATGCCTCCGCCATATCTGCTTGGCATGCTCCAATTGCGTAGGAGAATCCCTTCAACCAATCTCCCTGATCGTTTCTAGCAAGGCCTCCACAGTTCGCCTTATTGGATGTGGGATCATAGCTGCCATCTATGTTTACTTTAATCCAACCTACTGGGGGTTTTGCCTATCTTATAAGCTTCCCATCCTTGTTGGCTGACTGTGAACCGGTTCCCCTAGCACGATCGAAAGCTCTGTTGATCTTAGTCGCTTGCATTTGGATCCAATAGTTCTTCTGTCTATCCTCAATTCTGATCTATATATCCAAGTGTAATTAGACCCTCGAATTAAAAAAATTCAATTAAACCCTTAAATTGATTAAATGTGTGCAATTAACATATCTAATAGGTTACCAAAATGTAATTGGTTAATTTTACTTTCTTAACATACATGGCATTTCATTTATTTTTTTTAAAAGAAAAAACTAAAAGAAATAAGAGTCTACGACGAAGAAACCACTAGATTCTTTGTCAGATTGGACGAAGAAGCCACATGCTTCTATTCTCCATTCAGATTTAGACGGAGAAGCCCGCTGGCTTCTCAACGGAGACGCTATAACTTCTGGTTTTTTTTTTTTTTAAAAAAATAAAATTTATTTGATTATAATATACTTAAGTTTTAAAAATATTAATCGACGTGGCAGGCGACTTGGGGGTAACATGTTATTATAGGTCAAATGGTTTAGTTGAACTATTTTAACAAGTTTAAAGGTTTAATTAGAGGTTTTTAGTTCGAGAGCCTAATTACACTTTGGTATATAGTTGGAGGGTCTATTTGATGACAATTTATATCGTGGACTCACCTAATATCTTAAATGTTTAATACAAATCTATCCAAAAAAAAAAAAAGGCACAATATTAGCACTAACATTCAATATGACATTATTAAAGTTAACTCAAAATCTCATATAATATATATCTATATATAATTTTTATTAAAAAAAAAAAGTCTACAACATTGACACTAAGTCACCAACCTAGCTTGTTACCACCTTTGAAACAAGTATGAAAAAAATAAAATCATAAAATTTGGTCTCCAATGAAAAAGATAATTAAATTGTGTCATTTTGTTTTATTTGTTTTTCTAATTGAGGTAACAAATACTCCCGTATCCGAACGTTTGAGAGTTTTCAATCCCTTGGGCAGTGCAAACTGGACGAATATGATAGTCTATTCCTTTATAAATTGGATATAGGGTTGGTGGCTAGGAATGAGTGTGTTCGGGATAGTCAAGTCTCTATATGTCTTACACGCAGGGGCGGAGCTATAATGGAGCCAGCTGCCCCTTCACCCCTATATAACCCTTGTGTGTGTGTGTGTATATATATATATATATATATATATATATAACTTTCTTTTATATTAATAATGATACGTGTAATTTATAATGTGTTTTATATATATTCGAATTATTTTATTAAATTAATTATGTTTCATATTTTGTTATGAATATTTTTATAAAATTTTGATATGTTTTATTTTTTGCTATATCCAACAATATTTATGGTTATACTTCTTAATTGTTTCATTTTTTTTTCGAACTTTCTCTTTTGTTTTAATGTTTCACCCCCACTGGAAAGAATTTCTGGATCCACCTTGCTTACACGTGCAGGGAAGGGAAGGCGTTCGCCGGTCATATATATATATATAGGTTATGCCAAGTGTCATAAAAAGACTGAAAATATGAAATGACGTGATTGGACTGTTCTTCCGGACTAGGAAGTGTGCTTGAGTGGATTCCAAGGCGAGTGGCTTGCTCTCCGATCACAGTAATAAATTTTTCTGTCTTATCTGGTTGGGACCTGATGAAGAAATAAAAAGTAAATATTTTTGACAAAATCGAGTAACCTAGTCGGGAACTGGTCTAGATTTGGTCGGTGTCGACCGCCTTGGGCCGGGTTTGATACGGTGAACCTAGTCAGGTGCGTATAATCCGTATCACTAACAATTGATTATAACTAACAAGAAAAATGGTATATTTGTGTTGTGGAAGAAAATTTTTGATCTATTCATATCAATCTTTCTCATCAAAACTCAAGATATTTTCATGGATTTTTTTACTTCCATTTCAAACAATCGTATGGCTATGAAGAGTCGACAGTAGATGTCACACAAATACGTGCATTATTACAGTGCCACGTGAATATGAATTGCCTAGCTACTTGGCCAATTCTCCGAAGTTGATATTGCACTAATCCAATTGAACACATGGCAACACCCAATTCGCTGCACAACTGGAATCTGCATTTTGCTAGATTTTTTGAATCCAAGGATATTTGTGGTGTTAGAGATAGCCAACTGGACTTGCATTTTCAATCTATCAAATACTCATCAACCAATGAAATTATAGATTATGATCTTCAAGATAAGGACCTTGGGCGTATTTATATAGGCTGTAATGGAGAGGAGAATGAAACTCAAGCCACAAATTAAACTCTCTTCTTCTTCATCTTCTTCTTACAAACATGGCTGCTTCTACAATGGCTCTTTCTTCCTCTTCTTTTGCCGGAAAGGCTGTGAAGGTCTCGCCTTCCACCCCGGAAATCACCGGAAACGCCAAGTTTACCATGAGGAAGACAGCTGGTAAGCCGAAGCCTGTTTCATCCGGCAGCCCATGGTACGGCCCAGACCGTGTTAAGTACTTGGGTCCATTCTCCGGCGAGCCCCCAAGCTACCTGACCGGAGAGTTCCCCGGCGACTACGGATGGGACACTGCTGGCCTCTCTGCTGACCCAGAGACCTTCGCCAAGAACCGCGAGCTGGAGGTGATCCACTCCAGATGGGCGATGCTGGGAGCCCTTGGATGCGTTTTCCCGGAGCTGTTGTCCCGCAACGGCGTGAAGTTCGGCGAGGCAGTGTGGTTCAAGGCCGGAGCTCAGATCTTCAGCGAGGGAGGTCTTGACTACTTGGGCAACCCAAGCTTGATCCACGCACAGAGCATCTTGGCCATCTGGGCATGCCAAGTTGTGTTGATGGGAGCCGTTGAGGGTTACCGTATTGCCGGCGGACCCCTCGGAGAGATCACCGACCCACTCTACCCCGGTGGCAGCTTCGACCCATTGGGTCTCGCTGACGACCCAGAGGCTTTCGCCGAGCTCAAGGTGAAGGAGCTCAAGAATGGCAGACTTGCCATGTTCTCCATGTTCGGATTCTTCGTTCAGGCCATCGTTACCGGAAAGGGCCCATTGGAGAACCTCGCCGACCACCTTGCCGACCCAGTTAACAACAACGCCTGGGCCTATGCCACAAACTTCGTTCCCGGAAAGTGAATATGAACAGTAGAGTTAGTGCATGTGTTTTTGTGTGATGTGCTGAAGTGGTTTGATCTAATGGATAATATGTGAATTCTTTGCAGCTGCATTTCTTTTTGTTTTAAATTTGTGATTCATTGCTATCATTTCTTTCCTTTGCCTCTAAAGGGGAGTGCTGAAGTTCTACAACTACTCTTCGATGCCTTCACTCATCGCCATAACACGCTATTTATAGTGCTCAAAGGCTTAACCATTATCAATTTTATATATTCGATCTGCCTTATTTTATCTCTGATCTGCAACTTAACATTGGATTGCTACATAGCCGAAAATAGAGTTAAACAACGCAATAATAATTCTTCCTTCAACTCAAGTATGCTGCAATTGACATGTTCTGAAATTTCCTGTTAATTGCATGAAAGATCCGATCCGGTACAGAGAAGTGTGGTTATTTGGGAAATTGACTGAAATGGGCATTGGGAAGTGATTGTGGACAATAATGGGAGGTCAAATTTTTTTTGACAAGAATAGGAAAAACGAGTTTGGGAAATGCGGTTGTGGTCAAAACCGCATTTCCCAAACTCGTTTGGGTCGCAGTCATACTCTACGGACAACCGCATTTGGGAAATGCGGCTGTCGCAAATGCGGCTGTCGTATACACATAGCCGCATTTGAGAAATGCGGCTTTCGTATATCATACGATAGCCGCATTTTCCAAATGCGGCTATGCTATTAGAACGCCGCCGGCCATCGGAGAGGAGCAGACAATCAATGATGAAGGAAGACACACGGAATCGTAAAAGGAAGAGAGGGAAGCGCCGCCAAAAACCCACCGCCTCTCCGCCTCCTAGCGGAGATAATGCTTCTTTTGCTAAGCACAAATCCGGCGATTCATCCTCGGTTTCTGCCTTGCAAAGCAAAACCATCTCTAAACCCAACAAAACTTCATCATTTATCGATAAGGTTCCCTCCTCCCTCCATCTATCTTTCGATAATATGAGGAATTGGTAATTATTGGCGTGATTATGCAGATGAAGGCGAGATTGTCAGGGGGACACTTCCGTATGATTAATGAGAAGCTTTACACATGCTCGTAAGTTTCCTGCTTTTGATGAGGCGATGACTGAACCTAATACGTAACGGTTTATCTCCTGTTTCTAGGCTATTTTAACGAATAGCTTCTTGTTTATGTAACAGCCTAGCATGAAAGTTAAGCCTTGTGCTGAAATTATCTTATGAAAATTTTGTTTTGTGTCCCTTTAATTCAGTGGAGACGAGGCGCTGAACTATTTCAAACAAGATCCGCAGTTGTTTAGTGTGGTAAGTTTGCTTTTTATGTCCAATCTCCGTAAATAAATCCAAAACATGGTGTTTGGTATATGTCTGTACTGAAGGTATATATGTTTTCTCCAGATTGTTGTTCTCATTATAAATGGTAATCTACAAATCACTTCTGAGTACTATGTTTGGTGTGCAGGATTTCTCCAATAAGATGTTTGTACTCCTCTACTTTAAGAAAAAGGTGATAAGATTTACTCGTAAATTATTGATTTGTTTCTTTGTGAAGTGAGTGCCTGTATTTAGTTGTGGTTGGTTCCTTTTGATTGCAGGATAAGCAAAAGTTGCGGGGAAGGGAAATTGATTGGCCTGAGCTCAAGCCTTGCATATACAAGCGTCGTTAAGTTGTCCAAGTTTGCAGTATCAGTCATGTAGAGTTTTCTTGGCGTCGATACTTTTTTGAGTTTCCATGTCTTAGGATCTAGATGTACAACAAATTGACAATATGAGAGTCTTGAAACATTTTAGTAATATTTTTATAGCATCTATATTCTGTATTTTGTTATATTATTGAGAGAAAATCTCTTTGGTTTACATTTAAGCCCCTGGATATGGTGAATTGGTAAACCATACTGAAGTTGTTTCAATGCTATCAGCCAATTTTACCAAACATTACTAAACAATATGAGTCATTTTCCATGTAATCGGTTGCTATCAGCCAATTTACCAAACATTTTTTCAAAAATCAGCTAACGCTATCAACTACTCAAACCCACTAACCCAACCAGCTAACAACTACTTACCAAACACCCCCATGAAAATCCAGAGCTTTCTGTTTTTGGCATATTGCAAGAATTAAGCAACAGTTTCTGGCTTATTGGTTAACCAACCCAGCAGCCCTGATAAACCAGGCATCTTAAATCCTGAAAAATAAAGCAATATAACTGGAACAAAGAAGCTGATGATTCCAGTAGCACTGGCCAAACAAATGGAGAAAGCTTCTGCCACCCTACCTAACCTGAAAAAGACAGTCAAGATCCCTAGGTTAAAAGAAATTGCATATCTTGAAATGCTTAACACATCTTAAAAGTTAAAAGGACTTTGCTGGAAAATTGATGAGGGGCAAACCTCTTCCTGCAGATTGAGGTCAACATTTGGACCAATAAATCATGAGTGATGGAAGTAGTAAGGCTTGAGACAAGGCAACAAATGCTTAGAAGCAAAGCAGGATACATAAGTTCAGCATAATGGAATACTCCTGCAAAAGTTTACACCAAAAACATAAAATGATACTAGAAACAAATTGGATAGATGTGGCCCCATTAACAATATCCCTCCATTGATTAGTAACAAGTACCTTATCCAGTTTCTCCTGAAATCCAGGAGTGCCTTTGCCTGTTTGCCATGTGAACGGATAACCACTCATTGGTAGCTGAGCCAAACCACACTGATCAATAGTCTCTCCAAAACCGCGTAAGAGACTATTCGGGTGTGGATTACCTCCTTTCTTCTCATACTGATACAAGAGATCATTAAAGTCGCCAATCACAATCCAGGGTAGCTCAGATTGTGTCGCCAACAATTTTAATAAGTCCCATGATTCAGTTCTCCTTGTTCGCTCTGGATAGCCATAGTAACAAGTCATCCTCCAATTGGGAAAACCACTTATAGTCACCTCCACACCAATATGTGTCTTTGAGTAACCCAATAATCTTGCAGTATTATTCTTTCTCCAAAGTAGTGATAAACCACCACTACGGCCCGTATTATCAACATAAAAAAAGGCCTTCGTAACCAATCTTGACACGAACACGTTCAGCATGTATTCGCCCCACCTTCGTTTCCATCAGAAATACAAAATCAGGCTTCTTCCTGGACACCATGTCCACAACTACACGAACTGTCCGTGGATTGCCCAAGCCACGACAGTTCCAGCTCAGGATACTCATTGTTGTGGGCGGGTCTGGGAACCATAGCCCGCCTGTAGCAAGTTTTTTGAACTGTCAGCCATGTTAACATCCGTACCAGTCAACGGTTCCCCCCTACTCTCATTCCCGCCATCCTGCCTGCGGCGTTTAGTCAACGCCGTTATTCCATCCTCCTCCTCGGTTTGGTGGTGCACCTGATCATTCATGCTCGGATGTTCCGGCGCCCCACCCGTAGCCCCGGCACGGTGCACCGGCGGGTCGTCAGACGTAAGTAATCAGGGCTCCCCGATTGGCCGTGGGCCTCTCACCTGGCCAGCTCTCATCCAGACACCATAAGGATATTACTCGGGCGTCAAAACCGAGTCCCTACCTTTCAAACAAAATTTGTCCGAATGCCCTAACAGACCACAGAAAAAGCAGAAGGTATGCAACCTTTCATATTTGAAATTCACCCATCCCCATGACTTGTCCCGCCGAATTAACTTCATTCTCCTTTTTAGAGGTCTATCCACAGGCATACAAACCCTAATTCGGTAGAACGCTTTGAGAGGCCCTTCATCTGTCTTTCATCATTCTCCTTTTTAGAGGTCTATCCACAGGCATACAAACCCTAATTCGGTAGAACGCTTTGAGAGGCCCTTCATCTGTCTTTCATCAACCTTTAGGAACTTCCCCATAAAGTTCCATGTCTGTTCAAGCACCGATACAGTATTATAACCAACCGGCAGGTTATAAACCTGCACCCATAGATCAACAGTATCAAGCACTATATCTTCCGGCAACTGACCATCCTTCACCTCCTTACAGATCAGCGTACAATTCTCAAAGGACCACGGCCCCTCATCTAATACTCTCTGGACGTCCGTTTTGTGATGGAACACGAACTGGAAGAGATTCGGTTGAAGCTCTGTGATATGCACTCCTTTAACCGGCTTCCATGCCGAGGCCATGACCTGCCGCATGTACTCAACCTTAATCAACCGCTGCGTCAAGAACCGACCAACTAACGTCCATGAGTCTGCCAATGCTACTGCTCCACCGTCGACCACCGGTGTCCTCATCCTCCAGTACCATGTCCGCCCATCTATCCGACATGCCTGCGATCGAACTTCCGCTTGCTGCCATCATCTGCGCTCACGTCGTCACCTGCTGTGAGTTGTCGACGTTCTGAAATTCGCGTCGTCGTTCCCTGCTTCGTGAAGTCGAAGAAACCCTAGTTTAGGGAGATACTCAGGGAAGCCCTAAACGTGAGAGAGAGAAAATTCTGAGTCTTAACCTATCCTCAAACATAGAGAGGTAGAAGGGTAATTGTACAAAAGATTAAATTTTTATCATGGATGACATCTAATATATTAGCTATCTCTATTTCAAGCATAGCATCTGAACCACATTTAGTGATGAGGGAAGGGTGATTGATGAATATCATACTAGATTAAATGCACAATCTATTGAACCTCTTATTTATGGTGGGGATTGGCTTTGTAACAAATATGTGATAACGAAAAAATAAAAGGTAAGAATCTTATTTCATATTAGATATAAGGGTCAAATAGTCCCATCTAGTATCAACTACTGCTCAATTAACCCTTTACTAAAACAAGATCTAATTGGACACATTTACTTTTAAAACTATGTTCACTTGGTTAATATGTAATTTAAATAAAAATAATTGTTTACTTGGTTTCAATGTTGACTTTTAAACGCATTTAAACCCAAAGAAAATCGTTACACATTCAAACCTAGTGGACTAGAGGAAACTTGGAGAAAATGCCAAGTGAACACAATTTTAAAAGCAAAAACGTTTCCAATTAGATATTATTTTAGTCCAAATGGTTAATTGAGTAGTCATTGATAGTAGATGGACCTATTTGACAATTCTGTGTTTATATTACTATTAGTTAATAATTATGAGCACTTGAACTTGTAATCGACTAGTTATTCATTTTCAACTTATTCGTTCATTTTGTAGGAGGATTCTAAACAGGAAGACATTATGTTGATGCCTTAATTGGTCTTGGTGACTTGGTGTTATTTTAGACATTATTATGAGGTATTGGTTATTCTACATGTTTTATTGAACTTGTGTTGTTGAATTTTTATATTTTAAACTTTGGCTCTGTTTGGCAGAGCTTATTTAGGAGCTTATAGCTTATTTTAAGCTACTAATAAGCTATAAGCTCTGTTTGGTAATGTTCCCAAAATAAGCTCCTAGCTTAAAATAAGAGCGTATTTTAGAACGCTACCTTAGGTAGCGTTTCAAAATAAGCTCCTAGCTTCCTAACTTTTTTTTTTTCCATCTTTATCCTTATTATTTTAAAGAAATGACATAATTTACCCTTTCGAATTAAAAAATTTTTCTCTTCTCCTTTATCCGCAACTTTCACCGCAAATATTATTATTATTATTATTATTATTATTATTATTATTTTTTTTTTTTGAAGAGAGCAGTATTATTTTTTGTGAAGAGATTATTATTATTATTATTATTATTATTATTATTATTATTATTATTATTATTATTATTATTATTATTATTATTATTACTATTATTAGATTTGCAACAATATTGCTACTTCATTATGAGATGCTAGATCATGATTATGCTAATAGTTTTATTTCAAATGTTAAATTTTAATATGTAAACAAACTAATATAAATTTTATGAAAATGTCTTTTTTAGTCTTTTTACATTTATCAGCTTATCAAAAAGCTAATTTTTGGCTCTGTTTGGCAAACCTAGCTGAAAAGCTATAAGTTAGGAGCTGATAGCTGAAAAGGAGCTGAAAGTTGAAAAGCTATAAGCTCGGAGCTGAAAATTGAAGAGCTGTTAAGCTAGCTGTTATGATTGAAAGTGTTTGGTAAAATTAGCTTTTTGATAAGCTGATAAATGTAAAAAGACTAAAAAGGACATCTTTATAAAATTTAAATTAATTTGTTTACATATTAAAATTTAACATTTCGTCTTCCAAAAAAAGTAAACACTTTTTACTACTTCCATAATGAAGTAGCAATATTGTTGCGAATCTCCTTCATCTCCATAGAGGTGTGACTTAAATTTTCTTTGATGGAGGTATTACTACTTGAATTTGAGATATTAGAGGTGTGACTTAAATTTTCGTTGACGGCTCTTGTTCAATTTGAGATTGAAGCCATATTGCTAATTTTAAAATAACATTAATAATTAATAATAATAATAATAATAATAATAATAATAATAATAATAACAACAACAACAACAACAACAATAACAACAACAATAATAATAATAATAATAATAATAAGCTAAAGTTTCAACATAATTGTTTAGCAGGAAACAAGACTAAGGAAGGGATTGACGTGAAAGTTGAGATAGGGGAAGAGAAAGGGTTTTAATTCATAAGGTTAAAACATGTCATTACTTTAAAATAATAAGGGTAAAGATGGAAAAAAAGTTAGGAAGCTAGGAGCTTATTTTGAAACGCTACCTAAAGTAGCGTTCCAAAATAAGCTCTTATTTTAAGCTAGGAGCTTGTTTTGGGAACATTACCAAACAGAGCTTATAGCTTATTAGTAGCTTAAAATAAGCTATAAGCTCCTAGCTTAGCGTTGCCAAACAGAGCCAAATCAAACACTTTCCATCATAACAGCTAGCTTAAAAGCTCTTCAGTTTCAGCTCCGAGCTTATAGCTTTTCAGCTTTCAGCTCCTAGCTTATAGCTTTTTAGCTAGATTTGCCAAACAAAGCCTTTATAAACTTGTGGTTATCGATTAGTTTTCATGTGAAGTATTGAACTAGTTATTGATGTATAAAATAGTGAACATGCAATGTAAAATATCGTCCTCAAGAGATTGGGTGCATGCTATGGTACATTAAATGCGACAACTAAGCACTAGTCATCAAGTTAGGGAGAGTCATCAAGTTAGGAAGCACACAACAAGCTATTATTTGCTTACAGTAAGGAAGATATTGCACAAATCCAATTAAACACATGGCAAGACCCAATTGGGTGCAGCAACTGGTATCTGGTCTTAGCTAGACTTTTTAATCCAAGAATATTTGTGGCGTTAGATATGGCCAATGGACTTGCATTATCAATCTGTCAAAGATTGATGAACCAATAAAATGAAAGATTATGATCCAAAAGTTAATTGGGCATCCATATATGTCGTATATATAGGCTGTACTGTAAAGAAGCATCAAGCCACAAATTAAAGGAGCTATTCACACTTCTTGTAGTTACCACCTTCTTTAGCTTCATTTGTCTTTGCATTTCACTTATAAAGAAGTACAATGGCAGCAGCTACAATGGCTCTCTCTTCCCCTAGTTTCGCCGGAAAGGCAGTGAAGCTCTCGCCCTCCACACCGGAAATCACCGGAAACGCCAAGTTTACCATGAGGAAGACCGCTGGTAAGCCGAAGCCTGTTTCATCCGGCAGCCCATGGTACGGCCCAGACCGTGTTAAGTACTTGGGTCCATTCTCCGGCGAGCCCCCAAGCTACCTGACCGGAGAGTTCCCCGGCGACTACGGATGGGACACTGCTGGCCTCTCTGCTGACCCAGAGACCTTCGCCAAGAACCGCGAGCTGGAGGTGATCCACTCCAGATGGGCGATGCTGGGAGCCCTTGGATGCGTTTTCCCGGAGCTGTTGTCCCGCAACGGCGTGAAGTTCGGCGAGGCAGTGTGGTTCAAGGCCGGAGCTCAGATCTTCAGCGAGGGAGGTCTTGACTACTTGGGCAACCCAAGCTTGATCCACGCACAGAGCATCTTGGCCATCTGGGCATGCCAAGTTGTGTTGATGGGAGCCGTTGAGGGTTACCGTATTGCCGGCGGACCCCTCGGAGAGATCACCGACCCACTCTACCCCGGTGGCAGCTTCGACCCATTGGGTCTCGCTGACGACCCAGAGGCTTTCGCCGAGCTCAAGGTGAAGGAGCTCAAGAATGGCAGACTTGCCATGTTCTCCATGTTCGGATTCTTCGTTCAGGCCATCGTTACCGGAAAGGGCCCATTGGAGAACCTCGCCGACCACCTTGCCGACCCAGTTAACAACAACGCCTGGGCCTATGCCACAAACTTTGTTCCCGGAAAGTGAATATGAGTAGAGAGTTAGTGTGTGATGTATTGAACTGGTTTGATCTAATAGATAATGTGTGAATTCTTTGCTGCTGCATTTCTTATTGCTTTAAATTTGTGGTTCATCAAAATATCACTGTTATGATCTAAGTATCTGTACAGTTGATAAAATTGGTTGAAAACAAATTGGGAGATATCAAAACGAATAATACCCATTTTGAAACTTCTATGTCCAATTGATCCTTGATTGATCCTCGATCATTCACATACAATTGCTTCTATTGATCGCACATCCTCACATCAATTATGTGTCCGCCACTGCTTGATCACTCATACTGCTCCACGCCCTTATCTCTGGACACGGGCACTCACACGCCGTGAGTTCGCCTCTGTTCAGACATAGGCGTGTGCCGACCCTCTGTTGCGGTTTTCAGCTATTTTTTGGGTCTTTTGACCGTGGATAGACCTAGATACGAGCAGAGGCTATTTTTCATTGATTTCTTTATATACTTAATTTTAGCTTATATTAGAATAGATTTGCATTGGAAGTACGTATCTCTAGCTTGTAATATTGGATTGAAGCGGATTTCAACCCGAGAAAATATCATTTTTAGTCCCTTGACTATAATACATGTATCAATTTTAGTCATTGACTATTAAAATTTTATAGTCGAGGGACTAAAAATGCACAAGAGTTGATGTTATGGAGTAAAGGCCGAATATTGGTAAAGGGTGAAAAAGAAATAATTGTACAAGTTGGAAAAATTAGTTTAAAATGGCATATTAAGTGGCTATTTTGTGGTACAATTATCAGTGGGGTCCACTTCCAATTTGGGTCGGGTCAAAGTGGATTCGGATTCTTCGTAATAAGACGAAGAGATTGATATATTGTACGCTCAAAACGGATAATGGGTGAATGAGATATTGATTCTCAAAGTAGACCAATTTGAGTTGGAAAATGAAGGAAAATAGAGGACTTTGTCCCACATTGGTTTGGAAACAAGATTTGCCCCCCTTATATACATGAGCTCTTTTGAAGCTTGTAGAATTGTATAGCATAGAGGCTCTCTCGCGCGAGGGGGGGGGGGGGGGGGTGGGGGGTGCAAATCAAAATCCAACTAGAGCACCTACTCTCGTGCGTGCTGTGGTGCAACCCGAGAGTGCACGAGAGATGTACTCTCGTGCGTGCTGTGGTGCAACCCGAGAGTGCACGAGAGATGTACTCTCGTGCGTGCTGTGGTGCAACCCGAGAGTGCACGAGAGATGTACTCTCGTGTTGCCTGGTCCGTGTGCTCTCGTGTGAACCTGCACCCCAACTGTCTGAAACCCACCGAGAGCACAACTCTCGTGCGTGCTGTGGTGCAACTCGAGAGTGCACTCGGGTTGCACCACAGCACGCACGAGATATGTACTCTCGTGTTGCCTGGTCCGTGTGCTATCGTGTGAACCTGCACTCCAATGGTCTGAAACCCACCGAGAGCACAACTCTCGTGCGTGCTGTGGTGCAACTCGAGAGTGCACTCGGGTTGCACCACAGCACGCACGAGATATGTACTCTCGTGTTGCCTGGTCCGTGTGCTCTCGTGTGAACCTGCACTCCAACGGTCTGAAACCCGAAAGTTCAGCCTGTTGTACAGATTAAACTCATCTGTTACGGAATTAATACTGTTTTAATTCCAATTTTAAATTCTGAGTTTAATCCTACTTAGTGGGTGACCGTTACAGGTGTTACACAATTGGTTTAATACCAATTAAAGGCCATGTTGAATGCTATCCCTTCCAACAGCCCTATATAAAGAGAGGTAGGGCAGAAGCATTTTACACAATACAGAAAACGAAAGGAATTCCAGTAGCTTTCAGCCTCTCAAAACTCTGCTTCTACTCTCTTACTCTCTTCTTTACCAACTTGTGTTCACTGCTTTGCTTTGTTTGCCGGGTTCCTTGTTTAGGTATTTAAACAAGGAATCGTAGCACGTTTTATCCTGGGAAACCTAGGCTACAATGCTCCTAGCACTTGTGGGAGGTAGCAAATAAGGTTTTAAGGAAAAGAACTTCGTGTTCAAACTCGTGCTAAACCTATATCCAAACACTCCACTTTTTCCTTCCCAGATTTTCTATTTTCCCATATAATATTAATCTTTTCGTAGGATTATTATTTTTGGGATTTTTCAACCTTATTACCCAACACAAGACTCAGAAGATCGGAGATCGTAAGACGTGGAACCCTTAGTGTTGGTGATTGAACTTAGTCAAAGATTAGAATAATTTGAGAAGGAGTTCAATTGCCTTTTCTTTGTGTCGAGCACCTTACTAGATCAGAGTAGTTGAATGAAGGAGGATGGTTATGTTAAAGGCGGTGGTTGATCACTCATGCTCTCTAACTGAGCTCAAATTAGGATGGTTAGGTTCTAAAATGTCGGAAGACGATTAGTTAAATACTTTCGAGGTGGGGGGAGGGGGTGGAGATGAAACTAAAAACTAAGAATACTAGCTAATTACAAGGGATGGAAAAAACAATAATAAATAAAATAGTAGCAACAATAATGGATCACTAAGTTAATTGGTTAAATTAGTTGGCTCGGTTGATGAAATTTGAAGCAAGCAATAATAAATAAAATAGTAGCAACAATAATGGATCACTAAGTTAATTGGTTAAATTAGTTGGCTCGGTTGATGAAATTTGAAGCTTGTGGTGTAGTTGGTGGTGTCACCGGCATCTCCCCCGCCCCCTTTACCATTAACTTCCCCCAAAAAAAGCTCAAAATAAATATCCAAATGGGGATGCTTTAAATTTAAAATCTACTGTCAAAGAACATGCAAAATTGGTAGATGATTCTGAGGCAAGACAAAACTAAATTTAGAAGTTAGTTCTTCTATTTTATTTCTTACAAGTAAAATTAAATTTATTAACGAAAAAATTATAAATAAATCAATAAAATTCATTCGTATTTAATTTGAATGTAAATATGATAGGTAAAAATATAATACAAAGAATATAAGACAAAATCATGAATCTACTTTTTAATTAATTTTATTCTAAAGACTCTTTAATGATTTGGTCAAATGGATGAGAATATAGATTGTGTTGTATTCAATCATAATGTCTGAGAGTACAGAGAGCGAATATATAGATATTAGATAGAATCCTAGTCTAACACGAATAATATAGTCCTAGTCTAATATGGATAACATAGTCCTAGTCTAATATGGATAACATAGTCCTAGTCTAATATGGATAACATAGTCTTAATACTCCCCCTCAAGCACAAGGTTGGCTAGCCAAAACATTGAGCTTGTCACGGAGAGAATTAAAACGAATAGACGAAAGAGACTTGGTGAAGATATCTGCTAGTTGATCCTTGGTTGAAATAAAGTGCACCTCTAATTCCTTTTTGGCTACTTTATCGCGAACAAAATGATAATCAATCTCAATGTGCTTTGTGCGGGCATGAAACACTGGATTGGCACATAAGTAAGTAGCTCCCAAATTATCACACCAGAGTCAAGGAGGAGACGCAGGTGGGATGCCGATCTCGTGTAGCAGAGAAACAAGCCATGTCACCTCAGCAGATACATCAGCCAGACCCTTGTATTCTGCTTCAGTTGAAGAACGTGCTACTGTCCGTTGCTTCTGACAAACCGAAGATATAAGATTACTCCCCAAGAACACAGCAAAACCACTAGTAGACTTGCGATCATTCGGATCGCCAGCCCAATCTGAGTCAGAATAGGCGTGAATATCCATCGACGCAGACCAAAATGCAGGGTGCCTTTGACATATCGTAGGACTCTTTTTAGAGAGGCCCAGTCCGTAGTAGTGGGGGCATGCATATGTGACACAAGAGATTAATAGCATAAGACAGATCAGGACGAGTTACCGTAAGATATTGGAGAGCACCAGCAAGACTTCTGTATTGTGTTGGATCGGCATAGGGAGTGGCAACATCGTCGACGGTTTTTACGGTAGAGACAGGCGTGACCACTGGCTTACAGTCCACCATGCCTGCACGTTTGAGAATATCCTTCATGTACCGTTGTTGAGATAAAAGCATACCACCAGATAACGGGACAGTTTCAATTCCCAAAAAGAAAGAAGGCACACCCATATCACGAACTTTAAACTCAAGTGCCAATTTATTAATAAGAGCAGTAACACGGTCTGAGTCAGACCCCATAATCAAAATGTCATCAACATACACCAAGAAATAAAGACGAACATTATCACGAGAATAGATAAAAAGAGACACATTAGTCTTTGAAGGCGCAAAGCCCACAGAGACTAGAAAATCATGTAGCCTTGTGAACCATGCACGTGGAGCCTGTTTGAGACCATAGAGAGATTTTTTAAGCAAACACACATGATCAGGTAATGACTGATCCTCATAACCAGGTGGCTGGCGCATGTAAACAGTCTCAGCTAGCTCGCCATTCAAAAAAGCATTGTGAATATCCAACTGGCGAATAGACCACCCACGCGATACGGCTAAAGATAAGAGAAGACGTACCGTAGTGGGTTTAACCACAGGACTAAATGTCTCAAAAAAGTCCTCTCCAGCAACCTGATTAAAACCCTTGGCCACCAATCGTGCTTTATGACGTTCTATTGAACCATCGGCCTTTCGTTTGGTTCTGAAAACCCACTTGCAACCAACAACATTCATACCTGGTTGAGAAGGAACAAGACGCCATGTATGATTATGAACCAAGGCATTGAACTCTGCGTCCATTGCATCACGCCACTCAGGAAACTTGACCGCCTAAGAGTAACAGGTAGGCTCAAACACCACGGTGGATGTAGTGGTTGGTTAAGGCAACATGTTGATGCGGACCCGAGCTACGAGTGTTCATGCCATGCGATCGAGGAGGCGGAGTGGATCGCCGAGGACGCCCGCGCGATCTGCCGCGCTGCTCAACCTGCTGGTCCGAGACAATCCGCTCACTCGATGCGGACTGCTCGTGACCAGCACCGTCACCATGGCCAGAAGCCAACACGGGCTCATCAATCTGCCGAGTGCCATCAACAAAGGTGGCCGAGACATCATTCCCTCGGCTCGTCACAACCGGTGCGGTGGCCCATGGTTCGGACCGTGGCTTAGGAACCTGCGAGGCAATAGGAGAAACAAAAGGAAACACAACCTCATCGAACCGCACGTGGCGACAGATAAAGACTTTGTTAGTGTTAGTATCTAAACAACGATAGCCACGATAAGACGGGGGGTAACCCAGAAAGACACACGAAGATGAAAGAAAGCACAAAAACAACCAAATACCCGCAAGTAAGAGTAGGATGGGGGAGAACGATGCAAACGAAAGTGTGGTGACTCATCAGACAAAACACGAGTGGGTATTTTATTTATAAGATAGACAGCAGTCTCAAAAGCATAGTCCCAGAAACGAGACGGAACAAATGCTTGAGCCATTAAGGACAGTCCTGTCTCAATAACATGACGATGCCTGCGCTCCACCCGTCCATTCTGTTCATGAGTATAGGCACAAGATTCCCTGTGACGAATACCTAGAGAAGAAAGGGTGGAACCAAGCTTCTTATCCATATTAGGACTAGGACTATATTACTCATATTAGACTAGGATTCTATCTAGCATCTCTATATATTCGCTCCCTGTACTCTTAGACATTATCATTGAATACAGAAAATATATTCTCATATGGTATCAGCTAGGTTTTTCCATGGAAAATATCGGTGTTAATGACGGCTCTGTTCTTGGTTCCTCTGAACGGACTGTTACCGAGATTCCTACGATGCCTGCGAGTGGTAGCCTCACATCGGCTCATCACTTTGTTTCGTTAAAGTTGACCTCCCAGAATTATCTATTCTGGCAGACTCAGATGCTTCTGTTTCTTGAAGGCCAAGGGCTTTTAGGGTTTATTGATGGTTCTACACCCTTTCTGACGGCATCACCGGACAGCGCCCCGGCGGTGGTTTCCGATCTCTCGACACGGCAGCTCGTGTGGCGTCGGCAAGACAAAGCCATCCTCTCCATGCTCATCTCCTCTTTATCCGAGGAGACTCTTCGCTTCGCCGTCGGCAAGGGCACCTCGCGGCAACTTTGGCAGGTAATCGAACAAACCCTAGGTTCGTCTACCCGCTCTCGTGCACTCCGACTTCTCGACGAACTTCAGGGGCTCCGTCAAGGTGATTCGTCCATATCTGATTACCTTGGTCGTGCCCAGATGTTGATTGATGAATTGGCTCTCGCTGGTCGTCATGTTGAGTTGGATGATAAGAACTTATACATGTTTCGCGGTTTACGCCCGGAGTTCCGACCATTGGTGGCAATCCTAGCTCGCAGTGCTCCCGTTCCTCTGCCGGAAGTTGCAAATTTTCTTTTTTCGCAGGAGTGGATCTGTTCGGATGACGGCGCGGCTCTCGACGCATCGACAGCCTTGGCCGTGAGCCGTGGAGGACACGGTGGTCGCGGTGGCAGTCCGCAAAATCGAGGAGGTGGCGGCCGCGGTGGCCGTGGCCGGGGGCGGTCCAACTCGGGCCCTCGGTGTCAACTTTGCAACAAGCAAGGGCATATAGCTACGACATGTTGGCATCGTTTCACTCCAGATCCGGATCCTCAGGCGAATGTCACTGTTTCTAGTGTTGAAGGTTCTCTGGATGACTCTCATCAGTGGTTTCCCGACACTGGGGCCACAAATCATGCTACTCCTGATCCCACCTTATTGACGTCCTCTACTACGTATGATGGTCCGGAGACACTTCGGGTCGGCAAAGGTACAGGTTTGCCTATTGTTACTGTTGGTTCTACTTCGTTAGCCATTGATTCTAGGTCGTTTCGTATGTCTGATGTCTTGCATGTTCTTGGTTTATCTTCTTCGTTATTATCTGTTCAGCATTTTGCTAAAGAAAATAATGTATTTTTTTAGTTTCACCCTTCGTGTTTCTTTGTGAAGGACATTACAACCAGGAACACTCTGTTTAAGGGGCATGCGTCTGGGGGTTTATATGCCTGGCCTGCCTCGCATCCGGCTCCCGCTGCTTTTGTTGCTGCACGATCATCTTTCGTTTGGCATATGTGGCTTGGGCATCCACACTCTCGGGTCTTGCGTCAAATTTTAGGCTCGTCTAGTCTTAGTTCTTTTAATCCAGTGATCTGCCTAACATTTGTTCCTCTTGTCAATTGGGCAAGTCGTCTCGTTTTCCTTTATCGCGTGTTGAATCTACTAGTTCGCATCCTTTAGACTTAATATATTAGGATATTTGGGGCCCTGCGCCGATACTTTCTTCAAATGACTTTAAATATTTTGTATTATTTGTGGATGATTACACTCGTTACATGTGGTATTATCCTATGCGGGCTAAGTCTGATTTGTATGCGATATTTGATAAGTTTCGGTCACTTGTTGAACGTTCATTCTCTCGTAAAATTCTATCTTTTCAGTCTGATTTAGGGGGAGAATATAAAAAGTTTGGTTCGACTCTCGCGTCGTTGGGTATTCGTCACAGGCAGTCTTGTGCGTATACTCAGGAACAAAATGGCAGAGTAGAATGCAAGCATCGCCATGTTGTCTAAACAGGACTAGCGCTAATGGCCCAGTCCTTTGTTCCGTCTCGTGTGCCTTCGAAACTGCTGTGTATCTCATTAATAAAATGCTCACTCGTGTCTTATCTAATAAATCTCCTCATTATTTCTTGCATCGGTCTCCTCTCTCTTATTCATACTTGCGTGTTTTCGTGTGCCTATGTTTTCCTAACCTGCGTCCCTATAATCGCAACAAACTACAGTTTCGGTCGTCTCCTTGTGTCTTTTTAGGATATCCCCATCTTTTCGTGGCTATCGTTGTTTAGACACTAACACTAACAAGGTTTTTATCTGTCGCCATGTGCGATTCGATGAGACTGTCTTTCCTTTTGTTGCTTCTGTTGACTCCCAGGTACCCGCACCACGTCCGGAGCCATAGGGTGTTGCGCCGGTTGTGTCTCGTGGTAAGCCGAGTACTGTCTCGGTCTTTGATCAACCTGCCGTGCCCGTAGCCAGGTCCGACCAGCACCGCGATCAGCCCACCTCTGCCGAGCCGTCCGTGACCGAGTCCGAGCGGACAGTCACGGACCAGCTACCTGCTCGGCCGAGAGGTCGATCTCGTCCCGTTATCTCACCCGTTCAGTCTCATGGGATGAATACACGGAGCTCGGGGCCGCATGATCATGTTGCTCTATCCACTGATGTCACTACTGAGCCTACATGTTTTACTCAAGCGGTCAAATTTGCCGAATGGTGGGATGCAATGGATTTGGAATTTAATGCCTTGGTGCACAACAATACATGGCGGCTCGTTCCTTTTAAATCAGGTATGAATGTGGTTGGTTGCAAGTGGGTGTTTAGAACCAAGAGAAAAACTGATGGTTCGGTTGAGCGTTACAAGGCTCGATTAGTTGCCAAGGGATTCAATCAGGTTGCCGATGAGGGTTTCTTTGAGACTTTTAGTCCCGTGGTTAAACCGACTACGGTACGACTTCTCTTATCGTTAGCTATTTCTCGTGGATGGACTATTCGACAGTTAGACATTCACAATGCTTTCCTAAATGGCAATCTTGCTGAGACGGTTTATATGCGCCAGCCCCCTGGCTATGAAGACAAAATAATGCCCGGGCACGTTTGTCTCCTTCAACGTTCTTTGTATGGGCTTAAGCAAGCTCCCCGCGCTTGGTTCACGCGTTTGCATGATTTTTTGGTTTCTGTTGGTTTCTCACCTTCCAAAATTGATGTACCTTTATTTATATATTCACGTGACAATACTCGTCTATATTTTCTGGTTTATGTGGATGATATTTTAGTCATGGGTTCTGATTCGGCTCTTATGACTGATCTTATTGGCAAGCTGGCTCTTGAATTTAAAGTTCGTGATATGGGAGTGCCTTCGTTTTTTCTGGGTATTAAGACTGTTCCGTTGTCTGGTGGCATGCTTCTGTCTCAATAACGGTACATGAAGGATATTTTAAAACGAGCAGGTGTGGTTGATTGCAAACTCGTGGCCACTCTGGTTTCAACCGCGAAGGCCGAGACCGGTGCCGTGGTGCCATATGCTGATCCCACTCAGTATCGTAGCTTTGCAGGTGCTCTGCAATATCTTACGGTAAATCGTCCTGATCTTTCCTATGCAGTCAATCGTTTGTGTCAGCACATGCACTCTCCCTCTACTGCGGATTGGGCGGCTCTCAAGAGGGTGTTACGGTATGTAAATGGGACACTACATCTCGGTCTTAAAATTACTCCTTCTTCCTCTCTGTATATTCATGCATATTCTGATTCGGATTGGTCTGGCAATCCTGATGATCGAAAATCTACTAGTGGTTTTGCTGTGTTTTTGGGGACCAATCTTGTCTCATGGGTTTGTCGAAAGCAGCGTACTGTGGCTTGTTCCTCCATTGAGGCTGAATACAAAGGACTTGCTGATGTTTCTTCAGAGGTTACTTGGCTTGTCTCTCTGATGAAGGAACTCGGGTTTGCGCCACCTTCTGCGCCCAAACTCTAGTGTGATAATCTAGGAGCTACTTATCTATGTGCTAATTCGGTGTTTCATGCTCGCACCATGCACATCGAGATCGACTACCACTTTGTTCGTGATAAAGTAGCAAAGAAGGAATTACAAGTCAATTTTATTTCTACTAAGGATATGATCAGATAACAGATATTTTTACTAAGTTTCTTTCGTTTGTATGTTTTAATTTACTCCGTTCCAAGCTCAATGTTTTGGCTAACCAAACTTGTGCTTGAGGGGGAGTATTAGGACTCTAATATCCATATTAGACTAGGACTATATTATTCGTATTAGACTAGGATTCTATCTAGCATCTCTATATATTCGCTCCATGTACTCTCAAACATTATCATTGAATACAGAAAATATATTCTCATACCGAAACCTTTACAAATTTGACACGATTCTGTCGCCGCCGAACAAGTGCTCATTTTAATTATGGAATCACATCAACCAACAATTGTAATTAGTGACACTCTTAAGCGCTAAACCCTAACTCCATGAGAGAAAACTTGGAAACTGATACCAGATGAGAATATAGATTGTGTTGTATTCAATCATAATGTCTGAGAGTACAGAGAGCGAATATATAGATACTAGATAGTATCCTAGTTGAATAATATAGTCCTAGTCTAATATGTATAACATAGTCCTAGTCTAATATGGATAACATAGTCCTAATAAAATGTACCCAAGACTGACACTGGTTGAATAATCTTGCACACCACCTGAGTATCTATTTCCATTCTGCTATATCCATTGACAATATTTCCATTGGGCTGAACTGCATATCATAGTTCAGAAGAATCTCTTTTTCATTGTCATGTTTGTCACCCAGGATGAAATTCACATACGTCATGACCAGTTTTATCGTTTCACGCTTTATGAAAAAGAACTCGCCAAGTAAACGAGAGGAAGAAACTCGTCAAAAAAACGAGAGGAAAAACACAGAAACTCTCAAACAAAATTAACCAGTAAAGCAAAGCAAACGAAAACAACAATGCGAAAATAAGGGAGTAAACGACCGGTAGCGGTGGAGATGGAGGGTGGGACAAGGCATACCCGGTGGCGAAGGTGGAGAATGAAAGAGAAGACGGTGAAGACAGAGAAGACAATGAAAGCGGACGTTGTCTGTAGTGGAGATGGTGGTAGGGGAAGACGATCGGACGCCGCCTCCGATCCACTTGCTTCACGGAGGCGGCGACCGTGTAAAAATTTGAGTGGTCGAAAACCAAAGAGAAGAGAGAATTGGAGAAACCCTAAAGAGAATTAGAGAAACCCTTATTCTAAAGACACTTATTTAGGAGCTTATAGCTTATTTTAAGCTACTAATAAGGTATAAGCTCGATTTGGTAATGTTCCCAAAATAAATTAGTAGTTTAAAATAAGAGCTTATTTTGAAATGCTACCTTAGGTAGCATTTAAAAAATAAGCTAGTAGCTTCCTAACACATTTTTCTATCTTTTATCCTTATTATTTTAAATAAATGACATCTTTTACCCATCCCAATTAAAACCATTTTGACATTTTCTCTTCTCCTGTATTTTTATTCATCCTCTTCCGCAACTCTTCATCGCCCAGCAACTCCTTAAAGGTCCAACTCCAATCGTCCATTCATAAGTCCATTGCTACTTCATTATGATATGCTAGATCATATGCTACTCCAATCGTCCATTCATAATTTCAAAATGTTAAATTTTAATACATAAACAAGCCTATTTAAATTTTATGAAGATGTTCTTTTTAGTCTTTTTACTTTTATCAACTTATCAAAAAAACTAATTTACCAAACGCTTTTAAACCGAACTAGTATTTTCACTCGTGTGATGCATGGAATTTATTTGTTATAATATATTAAAAATATTTGGGTCGTTATACAATTATTTAAATTATAACATCAAATATTATATAGTGCATTTGAAGATATAATCTGGATCGTTTATGTTTGTTGATGCTATCGTTGCTTGAATTAGAGCAAATAATTGCTTAAATTAATAGTTAATGTGTAGATGTACGCATGCGGTGTTGTAACTTTAAAGATTTTATAAATTAGACAAATGTGCTCGTTCTCTAGCAACTTAGTTATAGTAATCATTTGTTATCCTAATTCATTTGTATAGAGGATATATTGTTGTCTAGATATATAACAATTTTGTGATTTTGAAAAAAAAATATAATATCAACGATTGTATTTACACATTATTGAAAACCTCTTTGTATATGAAATTGGTAGTCGCAACACAATCTTTTCCATCCTCGTCTAGAGCTAGCTAACACCTTCAGGCCATCAGGATGGGTGACTCGGGAGAAAGTCACGTACAATTGTCTGTGATTAAAGACCAGTTTTTTTTTAGCAATAACCCAGCGTGAGTTAGTATTTTGGTCTTGGCTTTTGTTGATAGTCATGGCATATGCAAGCATCAACAGTAATTTTTTACGTTGGAACTTGAAGGGAAATCTCGTATGAGAAGGAGTGAGAGACAACTGGGAGATAAGATCTTTAGTTCCTTCATGTGTCCCATTAACTATTCCTGCTTCGACAATGTGATCTGCCAATCTTGTGATGATGAGCCGCGTTCCGTTACAAATAGCAAGGGGGTGGACCATGTTCTGCAATAACATAACATGTGCACTGACCTTTAATGTCAATGAATGATTAGGAAGACCCGACAATCTCGAACTATTTAAAAATTCAGGAGTGTGTACTTCTAATAGATTTTCATTGTCTGATTCTACCTTACACAAAGAGTCACAACTTAAATATGTTTGTCCGTCTGCAGTATTCATATCGCACATGTACTGATTAATTTGATCAACGACATCTAAAGTCAGCGAGATGATTACTTGGCCTTCTAGCTGTGAGGACAGATTTAGTGTGTGTCATTAGCCGGTATGTTGTGTGCATGGCCGAATGTAGTCGTGTGCCACAGTTTGTATATCGTGT